AGGAGCCGTCTGCACCAGGAGCAGAGAGCCGCCTGTAGCCACAGGGGACGACACAAGATCTAGAGGAGACCCGAAACCGAGGCCCCCACCAGGTCCAAGGGTCCGACCCCCACAGCCATGCCGACCACCGCTCCCAGTGCAGAGGGCTCCTCCAGAGGAAACACTGGGTACACTAAAAACAATACAATATGTAAAACACAAAAATGTGAAACTAAAATGAACTAACACACAATACATGAATAAAAGCAATAGCAATACAATAAATAATAGAGGATAAATAGAATATATAAAATGAAATAGTAAAAACTAATCAAAAGCTAATCTAAAAAGGTGCGTCTTGAGCCTGCTTTTAAAAATATGAACGTTCTCTGCGGCCCTGAGCTCCTCCGGCAGACTGTTCCAGAGACGGGGGCCGTAGTGCTGGAAAGATGCCTCGCCGTGAGTGTGTGTCCTGACTTTGGGGATGGTTAGGAGTCTGCTGCCGGAGGAGCGCAGGGGCCGGGAAGGTTCATAGGATAAAAGCAGTTCTGAAAGATAAGAAGGCCCAAGACCATTAAGACATTTAAAAACCATTAAAAGAACCTTAAAATCGATCCTGAAACACACGGGGAGCCAATGCAGCGATTTTAAAACCGGTGTAATGTGGTCCCGCCCCCTGGTCTTAGTCAGGACACGTGCGGCCGAGTTTTGAAGTAATTGTAAACCTGAAATGTTCTTTTTGGGAAGACCAGAGAGCAGGGCATTACAGTAGTCAATGCGACTGGTGATAAAAGCATGCATCAGCGTCTCCGTGTTGCCCCGAGAGAGAATGGGGCGGACTCTGGCGATGTTCTTTAGATGATAAAAACCTATTTTTGTGATGTTCTTGATGTGAGGAATAAAAGTCAGCTCAGAGTCAAAGATTACGCCCAGGTTTCTCACTTGTGATGATGGATTAAAAGAGTGTGATTGGAGTTTTGATAAAAGTTTCTCTCTCTGGGCCTCAGGACCGATGACTAAAACCTCAGTTTTGTCCTGGTTGAGCTGGAGAAAGTTTTCTGCCATCCAGGATTTCAGGTCTAAAATGCAGTTAAAAAGAGCATCCATTGGCCTGGTGTCATCAGGAGACATGGAGATGTACAGCTGAGTATCATCTGCATAACTGTGGAAGCTAATTCCATGTCTCCTGACGACACCGCCAAGAGGGAGCATGTACTGTACAGGTTAAAAAGGACTGGACCTAAAATGGAACCCTGGGGCACACCACATGTGATTTTATGGACCTGAGAGGAGCAGGTATCCAAACTTACCATGAAGGATCTGTCTGTTAAATAAGAAGTGAACCATTTGTGGACAGCACCAGAGAGGCCGAGGTGTTTCAGGCGGGATAAAAGAATGGTGTGGTCTACTGTATCAAAGGCAGCGCTTAGATCCAGTAGAACCAACACGGTCACCTTTTTAGAATCATAACTTAGTCTAAAATCATTTAAAATCTTTAAAAGAGCAGTCTCTGTGCTGTGGTTCACCCTAAAACCTGATTGAAATTTCTCTAAAATTTGTTGCTGATCTAAGAAGGCATTGAGCTGGGTAAAAACAAGTTTTTCTAAAATTTTGCTTAAAAATGGTAAGTTGGACACCGGTCTGTAGTTGTTAAAATCATTAAAATCTAAATTGCTCTTCTTCAGAAGGGGTCTCACCACAGCCGCTTTGAAGGCTGCAGGAAAGACCCCAGTCTGCAGAGAGCAATTCATCAGGTTTAAAAGCTCCTCTCTAAAAGATTCATAAAATGACTTAAAAAATGGAGTGGGGACTGGATCTAAAAGACATGTGGTGGGCCTCACTGAGGAGAAAACTTTATCAAGCATCTCAGCATCAACCAGGACAAAACTGTCCAGTGTTTCCTCTGGTGAAGACAAACAATCAGATGTGTTAAAAACAGTTGTGCGGTTGGATAAAATGTTACATCTGATTGTGTTTATCTTCCCCGTGAAGTGGGCTGCAAAATCCTCACAGAGGGAGTCTGTGGGGGTTAAAAGAGACATGCTAAAATCAGGGTTTAAAATGGTGTCGATGGTTGAAAAGAGGACCTTTGGGTTATTTTTATTTTGGGTGATTAGCTTTGCAAAGTATTTGTTCTTATGATTTCTAATTGTGTTATTGTATGCTTTTTGATTGCTTTTATATAGTTTGTAGTTGATTGTTATTTTATCTTTCCTCCACCTTCGTTTTGCCACCCTGCACTCTCGTTTCATTTTCCGTACTTCCTCATTTCTCCATGGGGGAACAGATTTTGTTTTTATGATTTTTGTTTTTAAAGGAGCGACTTGATCCAAAGCGGAACTAAGTCTACTGTTAAAATCATTTGCTATAAAATCACAGGGGGCAGGTAAAACAAAGTGGGGAGTGTTGTTTAGGATGTCGATAAAATTTGCAGCCACTTCAGGGGTTAGATGTCGCTTCCTCACGGTTCTCACAGAGGTCTCACGCTGAATAAAACCAGTGATGTTAAAAAACACACAGTAGTGGTCCGAGACAGCCAAGTCGACAACAGAGGACACATCCGCAGTCAGGCCATAAGTAATGACCAGGTCGAGGGTGCGTCCCCTGTTGTGTGTTGACTGTCTGACGTGTTGGGTAAAATCCATGTAATTAAGAACATCTAAGAAATCTAGGGTAAAATTGTCAGAGGGATTGTCAATGTGTATGTTAAAATCACCGGTTAAAATTATCATGTTGTAAGAATTGTGTAACTGTGATAAAAACGCTGAGAATTCATGAATAAAAAGGCTGCACTTTTTTGGTGGCCTATAAATAATTACTGTTAAAATTTTGGGGTTGCTAAAAACAAGAGAGTGATACTCAAAACTTGAGTATTGGTTAAAAACAATAGGTTTGGTGGCCAGGGCGTTACTGCATATTGAGGCTGTGCCGCCACCTCTCTTTCCTTCTCTTGTTTTAAAAGCAAAGCTAAAATCGGGAGGGGAAGCCTCTGTAAGAACAGCCGGAGCATCCGGACCCAGCCACGTCTCAGTTAAAAACATACCATCCAGTTCGTGTTCTAAAATCAAATCGTTTACAGTAAAAGTCTTATTTAAAAGAGAGCGTACATTTAAAAGAGCAAACCTGATGGTAGATGGGGGGTCATTTTTGTTTGTGGTGAGGGGAGAAGAAGATGTGGAGGAGCAAAGGGCAACAGGGATGAGGGTGTTGAGGGACGGTTTCCGGAGTATGGACGGTCTGTAGGGGCGGGGTCTGGACAGAACTGAAATTCCTTGCTGGAGGGGGGGGGGGCAGGGACTGATGTTAGAGTCCAGCGGGGCAGGAATGATGTGGGATGGAGTGGTGGATTGTCAGAGGTGCGGGGGACGGGATTGGACTGAGTGGGTGATGTTTGAAATCAGGTACCGGGTGCCGAGTTTATTGATATGGAGTCCATCGGGTGTGAAGAAGGGGTGGCGGTTCCAGAACAGATTAAAATTGTCAATAAAACCAAAGTTGTGCTGTTGTGATGAGTTTTGAAGCCAAGTGTTGAGTGATAGTATCCTGCTAAAACGTTCCACGCCCCGGTTCAAAGTGGGCAGAGGGCCAGAGATAAAAACACTTTTGCCGGATTTCAATAAAAGGTTAAAAAGGTCCTTAAAATGGAGTTTGGTGGTTTCAGTTTGGTGAAGTGAAGTGTCATTTGTACCAACATGAATTATGATCCGGGTTATTGTGGGGGGTGCTGTCTGTAGAAGTGCGGGTAGTTTCGTGAGGATGGTAGGGACAGTGGCTCCGGAAAAGCAGTGTGTGATGGCATTGAAGAACTTACAGTGTTTGATGATAGAGTCCCCCACCAGGAGTGTAGTTGGTGCAAACAGAGGCCGTGGAGGGGAGGGTGTGACTGGAGTAGGGCCCGGGGGAGAGCAGGGGACAGGAGAGCGTTGGGAGGTGCCCGGAGCAGAGCTGCTGCGAGCCCCGTGAGCCGCAGTGGAGCAGGAAGATGGAGCCGGAGACCGAGCCGGCGCCCCTGCAGCGGGGTCGGTGGTGGTGGTAGTGCGGGCGGTTGTGGGAGGGCCATGGACCGGGCGGAGAGATCCTCCAGCAGGCGAGACAGCCTCCGCGGGGGAGCTCCGCGCCGAAATTGAGCGCACACTGCAAAAAGTCCACTTAAAAAAAAAAGAAAAAAAAAAGCTAAAATAAGAAAATTAATACTTAAAATAAGCAAAATTATCTGCCAACAGAACAAGAAATTTTTACTTGGTAAGATTTTCAAAAATAAGAAAATAATACTAGCCCTGTATGACCCACAGCGATCTTGAAATTAGTATATTTAGACCAAAAATAAGCAATATTGTCTTTTTTCAAGCTAAAATGTTTAGAACATTTTTCTTAATATCAGAAATATTCACTTATTTTTGGCCTATTTAGAATTGATTACTCTAAATAAGAAAAAATAGCTTACTAAATAGAACTTGAAATAGGCACAGCTATTCTAAAAACAAGCACATTTCACCTAAATGTAATTATTTACAAGAAAAATATGCTTAAAATCAGAATTTAATTTAAGACTAAAAACCTTAAAACAAGAGTTATATAATAAAACAAAGAACATTATATCTTTCCACTCTTTTATTGTGCAAAATCAGTTTCAAGACCACAACCACAGCAAAAACCAATAGCCAATCTCTTGAACATACTACTTTGGTCAATCTCAATAATCGTCATGGGACTTTATAACCGAGAGGTTTACAGCCATTTCTTTGGTACAAACAGTACCTAGTTTGGGAGTTTGGACAATACAACGGAAGACTTTTTTGCGTAAAAGGAGACTTGATGAAGATGTATCTAATTTTAGGAATCAGCAAGATTTATTGAATTTATCATGAAAAAACAAAACTTAAACAAAAATTGAGATTGATCAATATGGGGAAATTACTTTTTTCCCAAAATCAACCAGCCCTAATTGAACAGGAGCCACATTTTAGGAGGGACTCAATGCTGCTGAACTACTTAAAACTAAAACTGATGTTTGAATGGTCTTATTCATGAAACTTTCTCCATTCAGCCATAGCTTTTTTGTAGGAAGTAGTCATGTCCTTCTCATGAATGGCATCTAACAAAACGTCCGTCTGTAGCACAGACAGGAGGGTACCAATGCACTTAGGGTATGTGAGGTGAAAGGTGTAATAACAGCCAAGGAGATACATCACACTTTCACTGAGGTCTTCTTTGGGGAAAGTAAGCAGAGGAACTGTTCCAATGGCCAGGATGCAGTTTGTCTCACAGACAATCACCACAGGGCTGACCAAGGGTCTTGATTGAAGGTAAGTGTTGGGGTCCTCTGCTGACTAAAACAAAAAAGTAATTAAATCTTCACCCAAATACATAAGTTTGAACAAAGTACATGATAATAGAAACACTCCTTAACAACTGGGACAAACACATAGACAGAACGTAAACATAACAAAAAAATATATATATAATATTCTTACCGTCAAAATGTGAAACAAAGCATCACTTGGGTGTCCCAACCTCTTCGGCAGACCTACATGCGAAGGGAACATCTGAGGCAGTACTTTCAGGACAGCAAGTGCATTCTTTACTGTTTAAACAATAAGAATACATCAGAATCATTTTAGGCCTTTGTATGTGGGTAACAGCCGATAAATCATCCTTACCTTGGTCCTGCAATGGTGGCCCTATGAATTTTTTGAACACCCCATAAAACTGCGCCTGGTTAAAAAATCTCAGCCAACGTTTCTTCAGCTCCATTGTGAAGAAGGGGTTTCCTCTTGCAAGGATTCGGTGAAGTTCATCGATGATCTACAGTAACAGTGAGAGATTTAAAATAATACAAATAAATTAAGAGGCCTTTGCTCTAGTGAAATATACAAGTTAAGTGAGAAAAAAAATACTTACATGGCTAAGTTCTTTAAAACATGGATAAGCCTGCAGTATCTTCGTAGGCCTGTCCTGTTCCTTCATCACATCAGAGTCAATGAAAGCCCGTCTAGATTGGAACTCCAGTTCCAACAGCTGAGATACATCTTCCTTGTTTGGTTTGTTCTTAGTTTTGTACATATCCTGTAGAGTTTTATAGTGTCTTGCTTGGCTCTGTGGGCTCTCTGGGAATAGATAACAAACAAAAAGTATACAGAAAGTAAAAAAATACATTATATACAAATTAAAATATTTTCCAATAAGCATTAAGTAAATGTAAAAGTAAAGTAAATTCTAACCTACCACTCAAGAGATCCTCTTGGGAAGTAGATGGAGTTGACTTCTCTAGGATCACAGTGGAGGCAGAGGACGAGGCGACTGATGAGGCAGGTGAAGAGACTGAAGTAGGGGAGGAGAAAGGTTCATCACTCTCTTCGGTGCATGTCTCCTGGCTGCTCTGGAATTTTAGGCTTCGACGTCCTTTTCTTGATGGGGTTGCTCCTTGCTTCTTTTTTGGAGTTGTCACATTCTGAACCCTTTTCAACAACTGCTTCTTCAACATTTCCTTAAAAAACAAATCAATCAAAACAAAACCAATACCATTGGTAACAGATGAAAAAATCAAATCAATCAAAACAAAATGAGAGACTTACCCATTCAGGTGTACTGGGCGTAGACTTGTCTCGAAGCATTGGGTAGTATTCCACTAGACGTTTAGCCATGGCAGTCAGTTCACGGGGGCCTGGGTACTTAAAATCATCCTCGGACGCTCTTTTGATAGCAATCATGCTTGTAACTGTATTCCTAATGAGTCTACAGCGCAAGTCTTTTGGCATGGTGTAGTCATTGTCTTGTCCAGCACGCTGCTTTTCGAAGTAAGCACTTCTTGCTAGTTCTAGTTCTGTGTCAGTGTATATGACATACTCTGGACTAATGAGCCGCACCTTTTTAGTGGCACCAGAACAATCTTTATGTTTAGCTTTTGGAGAATTGAAGGGTGTTGGAGAGCAGATGTTGCTGTCAGAGGAGGAAGAAAGCAAAGGTGTAGGTGGGCTGTCAATACCAGAAGTGTCAAGGACTGGGCAATCGGATTTCTGACTCTGCAACATAAACACAACAGACATTTGGTCTCAGTTCTCATAGTTCGGGGCTAAACATTTTTACAAACAATAAATACAACTCACCTCCACATCACCATGAACAAGTTGCCAAATGTGTCTTCTTCTTAAAAAGTTTTCTGGTCCAGGAAACAGGTCTCGCAAATCCTCCTTAGTGAGGCTGGGCAACATGGTCATCTTCCAGCAGCTAATAAAAACAGATATTTTCATAAATATGGCAGTTATTACAGTTTAATATATTATTATTATTATTTATTAAAGTAAATAGTCCAATCAGTCGTATAAGTGCATTAACTCTTTTGATAGAAAAAGAAAAAAAATGTGTATACCTGTAGCACACTAACATGAAATAATTCACATTAATGACAAAACTAGGTAACAAATGTCAAGGGTAAACGCAAATTAGAAGTGGAAGTAGTCTGTTAACACACGCTAAGCGTTAGCTAGTTAGCATTTAGCATGTTGCTAAAAGATAATACGGTAAAAACATTTTACCTTTTAATACTGAGGCTGACACACTGTCAATCTCTGGATATGTTTCGCTCGCCCCATCGTCATCCATGTTGGCTCTCCGAGATATCCAGCAAACACCAAAGTAAAAAGTAGAAAGATAAAAACGATTTTTCTTTCTGAAAATTAACGGCTGCTTCTGTTTCACCGCCGAAAGAAGGGCGCCGCGCGGCGCTACGTAGTTTGCCGCCAATGTTGATGCATTGCGTCGGAAGATACCAATTCGGTGAGAGGGGGGAGTGTCAAGTCAATGTTATGTCGCCATTTAATCGCTAATACGATGTTAATTTTGGCCAAAAACACTTTTTTCTTTACGTAAAGTATGTTTGTATAATAATATGTGACTGACACTCGCATTACTAGTCTATCATGCGTCAAACGTGTATGTCAATATTTTACGCCCCCCTCCCTAAGATAAGAATGTACTTAACCAGCTTTGGGAAATGCGCGTTCGTTTGGAACTTATTGACATTGAGCTGAAGAAAACAATGGTCTGGCGCTGCTGCATTTGTGCAGTTTTTACAACTTTTTCATTGAAGCTCTTACTGAGCCATATCAATAGACAGCATAGCCGCAGTCCGGACTTTTGGCTGCTATGCGGTATCGACGGGTGCACGGAGGATTACAGGGTTTACAATTCATACTACCATCACATTAAAAGAAGACACCCGCCCGCAGTATTTACGTGATGGTATCCAGCCAACTGATGAAGGAACGGGAGGTCAAACGGCGGAGGGGCGAGACGCAGGTGCACAAACATCGGGGGAGAACAGCTCCAGTTTGCCGCTGCTGCAAGTAAGTTGTTTCTTTCGAAAGCTAGCGTTAGCTTGTTTTGTTGAGTTAATGAAAAGGGGCGCGATGCACAGTTTGTGTAAGAATGTGATTTTGCTGTCGCTGTGTTGTCTTTGACACACATTTTCTTCATTCCTCTTCCTTATTTGTAATCTGTCCATAATCCGATTTAACCTCTTAACCCCCACCTGAACAGAGCACATAATTTCCAGTTTGGTTTACCACAAATCTACATACTTCTTGAAGAAAGTGTTAACCTTTTAAGGATCACCCTCCCTGTACAGGGAGGATTCAGTTATTTTTCATTTAACAGCATCAGTATTAGAATTCACTTGTGTCAATATAGTCAAGCTATATCTCTTTTGAAAGCTTATTCCCACCTCTAAACGCGTATTATGTTCAAATGTTCAAATAAACATTAAATATAACCAAAATTAAGAATAAGTAGTCTAACTGTATATATATTTAAAATATATATTGTCCTTTCTTACCTTTTCGTGCTAATATTCTGGGGCAAATCACGTCTAATCCACACACGTGTGCTTACGTTTTGTTCTTTAGGGTCTAGAGAATAATTATATCCAGTTGTTTTTTCTTCAAAGTCATCCTAGTAGATATCCACTTGTAACAACATGTTTGAGTATTGAAAGTTGCACAAACAAAAACAAAACCTGTTCTTTGCGCACTGTATGAAGAGGACATTTTACTGTTTACCTAGCGTCACTGGGTATGTTCGTCTTCCTCACAGTCTTCCCTTCAAAACAAGCCCATTCCCGGACTTTTCAGTGCTATGGTTTGGAAGGTAGAGTAAGTTGAGTAAAACAAGCGCACCTAGCTTTAGCGCTCATTCACGTCTTGACTACCATTGTCCGATTTGGATGTCAATCAAATCATCTTGTAGCCAATAATCTCAGGTTTCAGGCGATGTGTCGGACTTCTAGCTTCCTCCCACTGTTCCCGTCATATTTGAATGCGTAAAAGGAAGACGGAGCCTTTTTCATGGAGAACACGCGCTATATCTATATAAATAATAGCTTTTCTGCAAACCTTTCAATAACTGGAAAAAATGCTATTTATAGCAAGAGTAATAGCCAAAAAAATATATAAATGGATTTTTGATGTAAAAACATTGATAATTTGCATGTAAAACACTTTGGCACAGTTGGCACAAAAATGGACCACTTGTGCCAAATGTGCCCATTAGTTACAAAAAAGCCCCCAGCATCAAAATAGTTCCACCTAAAGGTCTAAAATTTCATATAGGTGTTTCCAACACCACAAACATCTGCTCTGGTGAGTTTGAACATCATACCATAAAGTATGTCTTCAGGAGAACCTTTTGAAATTGCCTTTTATTTTTTTTGACAAAAAAAAACTAACTTTGACTCATGTTTGAGAAAGTGTAGTGCAGACTGTGTCCTTCCTAACAAACTGTAACATACATTTTCAGAAACTAGAAGGTTTTACCTTTCAAATGAGGCCTCATAACACAAAATCAGACACAAGATGTCCACACAATAAGCATTTCCATTTGGGTATCATAATTCGAGAAGGAGCAGGCGAAATTAGGTGATCCTTAAAGGGTTAAAAAAAAAAATAACGACAAAAAAGGCAATGAAAAAGCCACAATATAATGAACAAAAGCTCAACCAAAAATATGACAAAAAAGTGATGAAAAAAGATCAGTTCTGTCTTTGCTTTCAAATGAGGCTTTACTTGACCTAATAGTCTGTAAGCACCAGTTGAGAAGCTTTTAGACTTGGGTAAAGTCGGACTGGAGTCGCACTGGGTTTAGGTGGGATGTTCTCAAAATCCAAACACGCTGTTCCAATAAAAGTTTTTTGTTTTGTTTTTACATGCATCACACCCCTTCTTTCAGTTTAAAAAGAAAATATTATACTTTTAGAAATGCCATATCTCCCATTTTACTCTTTAAAAAAATATATCACTGACTTATTTAAGAATATTTTATTTGATGCTGTAAACTACTGCAATTTTATTTACTAGTATATTTATGTTTTTCAGACCACTACAGAGGACTTCGTACAGCCTGTCTCACCTCCAGCAGACCAACATACTATTGATCAACCATTTCAGACGCCTGACTCAAATGAAGAGGAGCCGGACACAGAACAAGATGGAACTATTCCTACTGCGGAAGTATGTCCTTGCATCATAGATGACTGTAAAAATGTATATCTCTAGAAACATAAGTCATGTTCTAAAATCATAAATCTACTTGATGCAATACTTTTAAGTGTAGTTCTATCATATTCCTTCTACTTTTATTTTTTTTAAATATCAATTGAGTAAAATAATTGGTTACTCTTCTAACATTGAGTAAAAGTATTATTCAAGTGAAACAATGATTATTTTGACATAGATTATTGGACCATTCCCGCACTTTCATTTGAAATATTTCTACATTTTCACATTTTGTGTTTTTTTTTTTAATTTTCAGTGAACATTGCTTTTACTTTAATACATATTATTCTGCCTAATGTACCAACTTTATATAGTTCTTTGTCTGCATGTACCTAATTAGACTTTTTTTCCCCCCAAGAATCTCAGAAGACATGCCACACTGTTTGTCATCAATACCAGGGCCAAGTCTAACATATCACAGGTAACTGTGTCAATTGCATTCTGTTGTACTTATATTTTTTTAACATAGCACAACCTGATAACAAATATATATTTTATCATTTTTCATGTTTCAGAAATCTGTGAACACCATTGTTGCTGGAGTACAGCAGTACCAGTCTTTTCTAATGGACCACCTCAAGAAGCAGATGGAGGATGTGCTAAAGAAACATTCTGGAAATGCCTCCGCAAGTCAACTGGAAAAGGATGCCCTGGATGTATTTGACCGGTTTGTTGATCCATTTGCTGAGGTGGCAACAACCTTTCGCCAGGACAGTATCATGAAGAAACAATTTGATTCTTTGGAAGCAGAGGAAATTCCTGTTGGTCAAATCCTGGGAAAAAAAGGTGCAGGCTACACTATCAAGAGCAAAGTGTTTTACTATGTGCCGTTAGTTGAAAGTCTGAAGCAGTTTCTTTCACATCCCCGGATTTGGTCAATTGTTGAGGTGGGCCCTAAAAAGTGCAATGAAGGATTTGTTTATGACATTATTGATGGTGAGCTTTTGAAGTCACATCCCGTATTTTCCACCAAACCAGATGCACTACAGATCATTCTGTACACTGATGAAATAGAGATTTGCAATCCACTCGGGTCCTGTGCTTCAAAAAACAAACTACTAATGGTGTACTACACATTAGGTAATATAAACCCAAAATACAGATCAAAACTGGCTGCCATCAGGCTTCTTGCCATGGCAAAATCTGCAGATCTTCGACAGCCTGGGGTGGACCCCATATTGAACAGAATTAAGGAGGACTTGGACAAGTTGCACAATGGTGTTGAAATTCACACAGTTAATGGAAAGAAAACAGTATATGGTGCGATGGTCTCACTCTGTGGAGATACACTTGCACAGCATGAAATGGCAGGTTTTAAAGAGGGGGTCGGCTTTGCCTTCAGTAAGTGTAGACACTGTGAGTGTTCCTTTCAGGACATGCAGTTCCAATTCTGTGAAGATGCATTTACTAAAAGATCTTTGGAGAGGCATGTGAGACAATGTGATGAGATTGAAAAGGCACAAACAGACCTGCTTCGCAACAGTCTAAAAACAACGTATGGAATTAACAGAAGGAGTAAGCTAGTGGAATTTCCCTATTTTGATATCATCCAACAAACACCACAGGACATTATGCATGTGATCCTGGAGGGCATCGCCCCACTTGAAGTAAAATGTGTTTTGAATAATCTCATTCAATCAGGACAGGTGGATCTGGACTCTGTGAATTCCGGTATACTTGGTTTTCCCTACTCCCCTCTAGACGTTAGAGATCGACCCACACCAATATCTGTTAACACATTAATGTCCAATGACAACAAGCTGAAACAGTCATCCGGTCAAATGCTTGTGATGTTACGGATTCTGCCATTTATTTTGCCAAGCCTGGATTTAACTGAAGAGGGTCAACTGATACTGGAGCTGATAGACATTGTACAGATTGCATTTGCTCCACTTCTTTCAATTGCGACCATCTCAAAGTTAAAAGTACTGATTGAAAATCATTTGAAACGTTGGAAAGAGCTCTTTCCTGACCGCAATGTAACACCTAAGCAACATTACATGATTCATTTACCATCACAGATACGATCACTTGGTCCAATGGTTAGACACATGTGCATGCGTTTTGAGTCAAAGCATGTCTTTTTCAAGCAAAAGGCTACAAAACAAAACTTTAAAAATATCTGCAAGTCTTTGATTAATCAAAACCAAATATATGAAAGCTGTCAAAATGTTGATCCCTCAGTGCACCCTGTTTTCTCAAATGACCGTGAGTTAGGACCAGTGTCGGAGGTTGGCAATGTGCAAATTCTCACTGAAAAGTTGAGAGTATCCTTGGGTCTCGTTGATGTACAGCACGCGGTGTCAGTGAAATGGATTGTCATTAACAGTAACAAATACATAAAACAAAAGTCTTTGGTCTTAGCTAAAGTACATAACCGCACTATCCCACAGTTTGGAAAGATCAAAAACATATTTATTGTCAATAGTACATGTGTTTGTTTTGAGTATCAGCTATGTCGGACTGTGTGCTTTGACAGACAGCACATGTGTTATCAGGTTGAAGTGCCACATAAGGATCAGGACACTGAGGTGGTGGAGGTGGAGAAGTTGGTGGATTACATGCCTTATTACATCTTAAACAATGGAAATCAAACTTATGTACTAATCAAATACTGTCTGACAGATGTTATGGAACTGCACTGCAACTGAATGGTTTCTTTCCATATACATTTGGCTGGCTGTAATATTATTAATGATGTATGAACATGCCCATCTGGTGATAATGATGTAATGATGAATGATGGAGCATGTAAGAGCAGTTTTGATTGTATGCCATGTGGACTAAATAAATTGCTTGGAGAGAATCTACATGACAGTTTTGTCTTCTGTTTTGATACTTATATTTTTCAATTTGTCTTATTACTCGATTATGCAAAATCTTAAAATAAGAACATTTTACTTAAAAAACTCCAGGTGCGGTCCTTTGATTATTGGTCAAACATCTTAAAATGTGTAAAATACTTGATTTAAGCCTAAATGTACTTATTACTAGCTTTTAATACTCAACAACAAGACTATTTCACCTCATAAGATAATTAAGTAATAATTTTCTTAAAACTAGCAAAATTATCTTGCCGGACAATTTCATTTTGAGCAAAAATAACTTGTCAGCAAAAAACAAGAATTTTTTTTCTTAAATTAAGAAATTATATCTTGCCTAGATTTCACTTTTTCCAGTGCAAAGACTCCCCCGCGGGCGAGGCAGCAACTACGGGAGGACTCTGCACCGTGCCAGAGCGCAGAGGCCCCCCCGCGGCCACCTCAGCGTAGGACCTGCTTCGTGTCCCGTCTCTGGGGATTCCCTCCGCGTCAGAGCGCACGGACCCTCCCACAGCAGGGACAGCGCTCCCGGGGGTATCCGGTGCCGCGTCGGGGCACAGAGATCCCCCCGGGGCTTCCCGCAGTTGGTCCTGCGTGACACCCGGAGAGCCCCGCGCTGTTTTAGAGCGTGGGAAGCTCCCCGAGCGTCTGCGCACAGCCTCCTCCACCAACCTGCGGCGAGAGGACACCGTGGATGTCGTGTGGCCTCCAGGCCTCTGCTCCGCGCCGCTCTGGGTATGGGCAGCAGGCTCCGGGACCGTAGAGGAGGGAAGAGCACCGGGAGGGACAGGAGCAACCGCAACCGGGGAGCATGATGAGGGGTGAGGACAGGCGATTGGATCCCAGAGTGCAGTGTCGTGGAGCTGTGATTGTCTGAGTACGGAGAGTGAGATTTGCTGTGACTGTTTGAATGATATGTCCATGAAATGTTCCAGAAGTTTCTCTTTATGTATGAGTTCAGTGGATAGTTCTGTGACAGTGCGCTGAAGTTCCTCGGGGGTCATGGTGTTTACTGGTTTTGATGGGAGGATTGAAGCAAGTTGTGATTTGTATATCTGTTTGTAAGAGTTCGCGGGGGGAGCATCGGTGTCCATGGTGATGTGTAGTGGTTACCGGTGAAAGGCTGATAGTCAGTCCTGTTAAAAGTGACAGTAATCGGGCTTAGCTCCACTGAAAAATAACATAAATTATGCTTAATGGCCAGTTTTTTTGCTTGATTGTATTTTGTCATGTAAGATTATTTTACCAGTTTCATAATCTTAGAGAAAAAAGTCTGAGCAGTGAGTTTTTAAGGCAAGGCAAGGCAAGTTTATTTATATAGCACAATTCATACACAAGGCAATTCAAAGTGCTGAACAAAACAAGAAAGCATTAAAATCATAAATAATCACAGAACATTAAAAAGAAAGATAAAGATATAAAATCCCTCAGTTGTATGCACAGCTAAACAGAACTGTTTTTAACCTGGTTTTAAACATTGTCAGAGAGGAGGCCTGTCTCACATCTTCAGGAAGATTGTTCCAGATTTTAACAGCATGAATCTGAAAAGCAGCCTCCCCATGTTTAGTTCTGACTCTGGGCACTAACAGGAGTCCAGTCCTTGTGCTCCTCAGAGTCCGGGCTGGTTCATATGGGACTAACATGTCACTAATATATTTTGGTGCGAGGCCATGGAGAGACTTGTACACAAGCAGAGCTGTTTTAAAGTCTATTCTCTGAGCCACAGGACGCCAGTGCAGAGACCTGAGGACTGGACTAATATGGTCGTACTTCCTGGTTCTAGTCAGGACTCGAGCTGCTGCATTTTGAATGTACTGCAGCTGTTTTACAGCCTGTTTGGACAGACCTGTGAGCAGGCCATTGCAGTAGTCTAACCTACTGGAGACAAATGCATGGATAAGAATCTCCAGGTCTGCTTTAGACACTATGTTTTTGATCCTGGCAATGTTTTTTAGGTGGTAAAAAGCAGCTGATGTTGAACGCCGGTCTCAGACAGAAGCCTCGGAGCTAACCGCCTTATCTCATCCACTTTGGCAGAGTGTACTGTGTTTAAGCTTGTTTTAAGTATTTTTTTCTTATTTCCAGACAACTTGTCATTTTGTTTTGATAAAATAAGTATCTTATGCTATATTTTACCTTTCTCAGAAATGTTTAAGAAATAAGTAAATAATACATGATATGTTTACACTGGAAAAAATGCCTTAAAAAAGAAATGAAAATAAGTAAAATACTGCTTAAAATATATGCCAAAAGAACAAGAACCATTTTGAGAAATGTTTTCTAAAAATATAGCATAACATATTTACATATATATATAAAATAAGTATTTTTTATCTTAAAACTAGTCAAATAATCTTACATGACGAACTAAATTCAAGCAAAAAAGATTCAGTGTAGAATCGAGTCGTTTGGGGCTTGCATTATTTTCTTATTTTCAGAAATCTTATCAAGTCATATTTTCTTGTTCTATTGGCAGATCATTTTTTTGTATTTTACTTATTTTCATCATGTTTCTCATTTTTTCAAGGGATTGTTTCCAGTTTTTTCCAAATATGTATTGTCTTTATTGAGTTTGTGGAAATAAATGAAATCATCACTAACGTTCTCAACAGTCTGGTCCTTCACTTTCATCGACAGAGTGTGGTCCCATTCTCGATTCTAAAACAAATAACTGTTTCCACAGACTTTCAAGCTGAAAAAAACAGCTGTGATCGCTGCAGAGCGTCCAAGGTGTTTTCTTGGTTTTCTTTTGTTCTCCAGACAAAAACTAAAAGTCTTGTAAAATGAATATTCCATATTTTGTAGAATAAAAATTTACATAAAAAATGATTGAAGTGAAGCACTGTGAATTGCCTTGAACACAAACTGTGCTGTATAAATAAATGATTGATTGATAAAGGAGATTAAAAATCAAAGCAACGGAAGAGCGCCAAGGAAAGTGATTGTACACTTCAGAAGCAGAAAAGCCTCCATATAAAAAACATGCCTCTAGGGTTTTCTTTCTGCCCCAAGCACACAGGAGAAACGTCAAACTCCACACACGGTGGCGCAGCGGTTGGAGAGGTGGTTGATTGATTTGTTTTGCGGTTTGCAGTAAAACCACATTGGAATACATTTGCAAAGTCCCCAGTGTGCACCAGACATTAATAAATAAGATTAAAAGTACAGGAATAAGACAAACACAATTGACTCTGTGAAATCGATCAAACTAAAACAGTTTCAGTACAAGTGCAAGATCTTTTAAGCCTAGCGTACATCGACAGAGTAACCGGAGACAACTAGTTGCAAGGCGGCTTTTGGCAACTGAGAGTAGATGATGGAGATGATCAGTTGCCGAAATCGGTCGATGTGAGCGCTCTTACAACTGGAGATAAACAGTCGATCTCCGGATTCAGTCAGTTGCCCGTGTTCTACTTTTCGGCAACTAGTTGTAGTTGTAGGATCCGGAGATCTGCTCCAACAACATGTGTTGAGAGTGTTATCATGTGACGTACTGTGCGCCCTCTACAGTTTATGTCAGAAAACACACTGTAGTTGAGGCCAGTTGCTGTCAATGTACGCGCTGTTATTCCCGAGACTGGTCTGCTACCAGGAGTTGCCCGTTTTAGTCAGATTGTCGATGTGTGCGGGGCAGCAACTCATAGGCGACGGATATAATCAGTTGCCAGTCCGATGTACGCTAGGCATTAAAGTGCTCTGTTTAAACCGATAACAGTTTGTGGAAAGAAGCTGTTTGCAAAGCAAGATGTCCTGCATCTCAGCAAACGATATCTTCTGCCAGGGGGAAGAAGCTGGAACATGGCTTTTCCAGGGCCCAAAAGAGTCATTGAATATTCTAAGAGCCCGTTATTAAGAAAATATATTAAAAACCTCCAGAACAGGCAGCTCACAGCTTCTCCCGTGTCTGTAAAGGTTTCCTCCGGCTGCTCCAGGTTCCCCTATCGCTAAAAACAGGTACAAAAGGTCTGAATGTAATGAGTGTGTTTGGCGTCTCGCTTCCGTCATCACAATGTGTGGAGAGAAAGGAAAATATCTGAACTCCAAAAATGATGCAAAGAGCTTTGGGGGCCTTGGTCTGTGAAATGTGCAAAATAAATAAACATTACTCACTAACTTACACAGACAGACCCAAGACGACATGTGATCAAACCCACGGCCGTAAGAGTGGACAGTGATTGACAAATGCGGAAGAAGCCAATTTGTGCTGCGGCAGACTTGAGCCAGACTTTATAGTGACTGAAGCCAGAGTTAGAGCAAAACTTTCCTTATGAGCACTTTCCCATTGGACTTATTTGAGCTAGTTTTGCTCTATCTATGGATCATCTATGGCCTGAGCAGTACCCACTAAGCCACCATGCCCCATACTTTTGGTCCCTGAAAAATTGAGTAGAACTGAACATGTGGAGCTTCTAAACCTCCTTGTTCCTTATTTTTTGGAAGAATAGAGCATTTTATTTGTGGTGGTTTTTAGTTTTTTTTTACACTAAAATCGGGTGGTGATTGTTACTAGTGGCTCAAACCAGGTTGAATTTGGGATCATTGAAAACAAATAGTTCATTTTGGGTTTGATTGTCATTTTATAACTGCTTTTTTGCCTGAAATGGAAAGTGGTAAATTTATTCATGTGACAAATGGACCTGACTGTACCTTTATCAATTTTCCCACTCCTCTCATTGTTTGATAATAATTGTTTGAATGAAGTGTTTTTGTTTATTTGAGTATATTCTGACTTCTTTAAAACAATATTTGCCAATGGGACAAAGCCATTTAGTCTTTTTTCAAGAACTTTTGCCATATTTTCTCATTCCAAGGGAGACATTTCTTGTATC